TCCTTTGTAATTAAAATATTTAAATAAGAGAACAGAAATAGTATCTGTGTAGTTTTCAGAAAAAATATATGAGATGTAATGGGAAAAATCTGATTGTGAATGACTTAACATAACAAAATTTTATTTCTTATGTACATAAAATCTGATGGGCATTGGCAGGGTGTCTTCATTGTCAGGTGACCCTGGGATCCAGGGTGCTTCCATCATGAGCTTCCACATCTCAATACAGGCTTGGCATGTTTGCGGCTCAATGAAACAAAAAGCATGGAGGTGGCACACTAGTTCTCAAATACCTTTGTCTGGAGGTGAGAGGCATGCTTCTGCTCATACTTCAGTGTCAAGGATAGTTACATGACCCTTTGTAACCACTGGCAGGTAGCCTCCGTATGAGACAAGGATAGAGAGCAATACATGAAGTGTCTTGAGCATCTGTGGACCTTCCCATTAACGGTTACATAATAGGTACTCAAAAAAGAACAACTAATATAATTTATGACATTAGCCCTCTTTGTTCCTGGAGGATTTTCCAAGATCAAATTTCCTTGCAATTCAACAACTTTTTCTAGTGCCCCTATGTGACTAGTGTTTTCAAATACAGGATCACACCAGTTTTCTAAAGGCCATTGAAAATCTCAGCAGAGAGGTGTCACCCTTTTTCACTCTATAGCACCTTTCTGCACTGACCTTTCCAATAACCTCTATAATCTCAATACACTGAGAATTTTCTCCTTCCTTTTGCTGCATGAAAAAACCTGTAACTTGTGAGTCTCTGCTATCCACCACCTGAAGAACATGTCTGAACACTTGTTCAGGTATCTTTAAGCACACTGAAAAACTAAGATTTTCCTCTGGTGCAGATATAGACAAGAGTCAGATGTATGCTGGCGAATTTTTTTCTTTTCTTATCAAAGCTGGCATGTCTGCCAGGGAGACATTTTCTGCCTTGGTGGTGAACTGAATAATTGTTCCACAAAGATACCCATACCCTTATCTCTAAAACTTGTCAATATGTTATGTTACATGACCAAAGGCACTTTGCATATGTAATTAAAATTTTGAAATGGACCTTAAAATAGGGAGATTATACTGTATTATCTGAGTAGGCCCAGTCTAAGATTTTTTTTTAAAGATTTTATTTATTTTTTATTTATTTGAGACAGAGAGAATGAGAGAGAGAGAGCACATGAGAGGGGAGAGGGTCAGAGGCAGAGAGGGGGGAGGGTCAGAGGCAGAAGCAGGCTCCCTGCCGAGCAGGGAGCCCGAAGAATGGGCCCAGTCTAATGACGTGAGCACTTCTAAGCAGAGGACTTTGTTTGGCTGGAGGCAGAAGAGAGATGCAGCAGAGTGGGGGTAGGAGAGTTTCCACACAAGACAGAGTCAACGTGCTGTTTCTGAAGTAGGGGCCCATATGCAAAAATTGGAGAGAGACCTTGAGGAGCTATGGCAGCTCCAGCTAACAGTCAGCAAGGAAACAGGGCCTCAGTCTTATAATCACAAAGCACTGAATTCCTCATAGAAATGGATTCTGAGAGCAATGTGTGTATGTGTGGAATGAAATTCTTCTCAGTATCTCTCAGTAAGAACCCAGACTGACAGCTTGATTTGGGCTTTGTGTAACCCTGAACAAAGAAATCTGCACAGCCAACCCAAATATATTACCTACACAAATGTGAGATAATAAATTTGTGTTGTTGTAAAGTACCTTGATTTATGGCAATCTGTTTGTCAGCAGTAGAAAGTATCTACATCCTCCTAGAAGGACACCCGAGATTTTAGGAATCCAGCCTCTGCCAATGGTTGCTATATAGTGATTTCTTCCAGCACTCATCTACCACTCAGGAGGAAGGTTTTGGTTCTTGACCACTTAGTTAAGCTCACTTATCTGTATATGGGTTCAGTGGCCAGTCTCAAATAATTGATCAGATTAAATTCCTCTTTCTTAAGAATTTCATCTGCTTTCTAAAACTTCTTCCCTAACTTCAGGGTTATCTTACAAGAATCAATACATCCTGTGCCAAATCAGACTGCTCACAACCTGAGTTGGAAAAAACTTTGAGTGAGAGAGAAGCACCCAGAGCAGATGAGTAGTCTGAACTTTACTGACAAAGTAAACAGCTACGTGGATGGGACCGTTCTTATTTCATAGGGGTTCCATGGTCAGGGATGGGACAGACAGTGGACATCTTCAAGGGTTTGGAATGCTCTAAGTTAGGGGAAAGGCAGGCAATTCTGGGCTTTCTGTTTCATTGGGAACAGAGTGCGGCCTGATGAAAGGAAGCTGGACAGCTGGTCAGGATCCAGATTTTGACATGAGGGCACACTAGGAAGACCCAGGGCAAGAGTGATGTAATTCAGGAAGTTCTGGAACTGGTCCCAAGTGCTGGGACCTGGGTGGAGTCAGCTCTCAAGGAACTCTGGGGATAGAAGTAGGAGCCTGGGTAAATTAAGCCCACAGACTATCCTGAAATTGTTTTTAATTCTCATTTTCTTTTTTATTTATCACACCTGGGCTTAATACATTGGCAAGAGGGTCCTTCGTCTTTCCTGAGAGACATTGTGGAGTAGAGAGTAGAAATGAATTAAGAGACAAAACATTTGCTTTATTCGGGCCCCTAGGTGGCTCAGTTGGTTGAGCGACTGTCTTCAGCTCGGGTCATGATCCTAAAGTCTCAGGATCAAGTCCCACATCGGGCTCCCTGCTTGGCAGGGAGTCTGCTTCTCCCTCTGACCCTCCCGCCTCGCATGTACTCTCTCTCTCAAGTAAATAAATAAAATCTTTAAAACAACAACAAAAACATTTGCTTAATTCAAGAAGACATGAAAGAGTGAGGGACCCTAAATAAATTCAGACCATAAGTCCAGTCCCACTTCTGACATTTATGAGCCAGGTAAAGTCAGGAAACTTTCAAAGCTCTATAAGGCTTTCTGGGCGCCTGGGTGGCTCAGTCGTTAAGCGTCTGCCTTCGGCTCAGGTCATGATCCCAGGGTCCTGGGATCGAGTCCCACATCGGCCTCCCTGCTCTGCGGGAAGCCTGCTTCTCCCTCTCCCACTCCCCCTGCTTGTGTTCCTGCTCTCACTATGTCTCTCTCTGTCAAATAAATAAATAAAATCTTAAAAAAAAAAAAAAAAAAAGCTCTATAAGGCTTTTCTATGAAATGAGCTAGAGAAGCCCTGCTATGTAGGACTCCTGGCATGTATATAATGTATGAAAGCACTTGGCATAGTGTCTGGCATGTATTGAGCCTTTAATAATTTTCAGTTATTACTATTACTGTTTTGACCTCAGACTCTAGTAAAATCTGCTCTGTGATTTTTTTATCCAAGAGGTATCAGTGAATATGCAGCACTATGAGACAGCACAACAGATCAGCCAACATGATGCATAGCAAATAAAGCTAAATTACTTACTCTGCAAGTTTTTAGCGTATGTTACTTATTGCATGTTGAGGGAGTCTTCCCCAGTTAGGTGGAACTTAAGGGTCCTTTGTGTCAAGAATGACCTCCCTCCAACTGTCCTTCCATCCAAACCACCTCTATTTTCCTTTATTTCAGTTCCATTAAAAATCTAGCCCTCACTTGGGAGTTTGCCAAATTACACACAACTTAATAAAATGAACTTTAATGTAGTGGGCTGTCTCTTCCAGGCCAGAGCAAAGATTGCTAGCACAGTGGCTTCTGAGCATACCCATGTTGTGTATCACTCTTATTTCTCAGAAACTCCCTGGGGATGGTGTGCAAAGAACAGTTTGTGTGCTGTGCTCAACTGCACTGGGAAAAGAACAGTGGGAAAGGATGCAGGACACCTTCCATTCTTGTTCCAGGTGGAGATTTCTCCCTGGTTAATTCATGATCTTAAAGTAATTGCTAGAAACAGTTTTCCATTCCAGGCTTTAGCCTCTTAACTCTGGACACAGCTTCTGAGGGTCTGGCCCCCGCACACGACTCCCACAGCCTCATCTGATCCACCACCCAGCTTCAGGTAAAACTGACTCACACCAAACGACTTGCAGTTTCCCAAGGCCTCAGACTCACTGGCCTCAGGGCGCTTACACTTGACTTCTCACATCTGGATCCTCCCATGTCCTCTCCTTCTTTTGACTTGTTCTTAGGTCTTAGGGTGTATCCCATCCTCTTTCCTACTTGACAGCTGTTTCTACACTCTAAAATTCTATGGGCACAGTGGGCGGGTCTTGTTTATCCTGACACTCCCAGTACTAGCAGGAAGCCTCCCAAAGAGCAGATGCTGAAGGAATGTCTGCGAAATAAATGAGACAGTGTGCAAGAGGTCTAATTTATTATGCTATAATTAATTCTACATTCTTGAATAAACTAAGCACATTTAAGTATATATCTCTCTTAATTTTACAGAACAGACCAAATAGTGATAAAGGAATGCAAAAATGTATCATCTTTTACTTTTTTCTCTATTTCTTGATCCCAGCATTTTACTGCTGAGTTCTCTCATATTTCCAAGGAAGTGCCAAATCCACTAGGACATTATCTTATTCCAAGTAACTCAATAAAATGGAAAATGTCCCAATTTGTTCTATAAAATAATAAAACTCTTACTCTTAAAACTCATAAACGTCAATAAATGTGTGATTTACATCATTCACAAACTCAGATTCTGAAGCTAGTTAAACCTTCTATTAAAAGGAACAACACTGAGGTGCCTGGGTGTCTCAGTTGGTTAAGTGTCCAACTCTTGATTTTGGCTCAGGCATGATCTCAGGGTCGTGTCGGGCTCTGCGCTGGGCGTGGAGCCTGCTTAAGTTTCTCTCTCTCCCTCTGCCTCTCCCCGCCATGCTCACCCTCTCTCTCTCAAAAAAGAAAACAAAACAAAACAAAAAAAAACATTTAGACAAATATCCAGGTTACTACCTAAAATAGGAACACAAACGTGTTATGTACTCTCTTGTCCCCAGCCCCACCCTGACCTTTCACTAATGAGAACATTAGCTGTTCTCTTCAAACACATAGTAATAACCTTCCTCAAACTTCACTTGGGGCAGGAGAAGCTGCTGGCCATGGCCCTGGAGCGTGCACTGGCCATAGCAGCAATATAAGCCTTGGCTACAACCTTGGCTCGGGCTCGCTCTTCCTCATCTCTCAGAGCCTCTTCATACCAGAATGGGAAGGCAGTGGGGACGGTATCATGAATCTTGGCCACAAACTCTAGGACTTTCATCTTGCTGGTCTCAGCATGGGCTCTGGGACCCCACAGGAACTCATAGCGTGGAGGATCACTGTTGGCTATCTGCCGGTACTCCAGGTATTCTTCTTTCACCCAATCTTGGGTGATGAGCTTCCTGGGCTCCCCATAGATGAAATTCTTCATTCCATCATATAACTCCATCATATTCAGCACTTCCCAGACTTGCTCCTCAGTGGCACAGTTGCCCTTTGTGAGGATCACGCCCAGGACGGTCATCAACAGGCCAGTCTTGGGCACACCTCCATTATCATTTACTTTCCCATCATAGCTGGATTCCAATTTGTTGACAAGAACATAGGTGTTCCTGTTGGGATCCACTTTCTTCACATCAAGGCCAAAAACCAGCTCCAAGTGCTCAGAGGCTTTCTGGAGGATCTCGTGGAAGTGATTCTTGTTAATCTGGATTACATTTTTCAGCATATCTGCCTTGGTAATGGGCTCTTTCATTTGATACTTGTACAGCAGGTAGTATACCAACATAGCAACCTTCTTGTCTACAGGACTTCTGTGCCGGTGCTCAGTGGTATCCCTGGCCTGTGAGGCATTTGGCTTCTCCTCCATTTGATTGTCGGCACCTTCATTAAATCTTGTGTTTGAAGCAGTTGCAGTACTAGTGCTGGTGGAGCGGACTCTCCCAGTAACTTGAGGATTGCTGGGTGTTCCAGTGGCAGATGAGCTCTGGGGAGCATCTTTGAAATGAGGAGAAGGAGAAGAGGGGGACTCTTCTTCCTCTGGTACAGTGGCTTGAGCAGCCACCACATGCCCTGTCTCTTCTCGAGCCTGGCGGCGTTTTTCACGGGCACGAAGCTTACTCTTCTGGCCGCGAGGCATGATGATTCTGGTCAGGGAGAGCAGGCACGAGTGTGGAAAAGACAATAGATGATTCGGTAACCTGGAGGAAAGAGGATGAAATGGTGTGATATCCTCTGACAGGGAGATACCATCTTGGGCTTTATCAACAGCCATCTCTCCAGGTTTCCTTGAAGGCACTGCTCTAGGATCCCACAAGGCTCCCCTTCATGGGTTAGCCTTTCCCCTGAGGACTCTGGAAGTAACTAGAGTTCACCTTGGGCTGAAGCTTCCCACCCCTACCTGAGTCCTACTGGAGTTGATATAGGGTTTGGCAGATCCAGGCTCTATGGTGCCTCTCCTGTTGTGGAGTAGGGGGTGTTTCCATTCACATTCAGCACCATTACCTTGACTTCTTGCAGGACCTAAGGTCCTCTGCTTAACCGATTTGATGCTGACCCCTCATTTCAAAGCCCTCACCTCCCTGACATACTGGAGGAGGAACTGAAGGGAATCACATCTAAGCACATCTGCCCAGGGGTACCCTGAGATGACAGCGATGGCAAAGCTATGTGGAACCTTCCCCATCCTGGGATATTAGGGTTCTCACTCCTCACTTAGAGTCCTCACCTTGGCCTCTTGCAGGGCCTAGGAGTCCTCTCTTGGCTGACTTTAGACCTATCCCCTCATAGCAAGAATCTCACATTTTTGAAAGGTTTGAGGAAGAGTTTAGGGAGGACTCAGTTTAACATATCTTCCCCAGGGACCCCTTTGAGGGATGATATCACATGGAGGGCTCTATGAGACAGCCTCTGTTCTGTGATGAGTGGTCTGCTCAATGCTCAGGTTCCTTACCATGGCTCCTCCCCTTGACTGCCAGAAATCCCCCTTCTGCAGACCTGAGGGCTATAACAATCACACCAAGGCTCTCAATCACCTGATATCCTGGAATATGCAGTGGAGGCGGGGCGGGGGGGGTTGGGGGGGTGGGGGAGTGGTGGGGGGTGGGGGAGTGGTGGGGGGTGGGGGAGTGGTGGGGGGGCTGGGGGGAGGGAGGAGGGGGGAGGGGGGAGGGGGGGAGGAGACTCAGAATGCAGATCTCCCCAGGGTTTTCCAGGGCTGATCACAGAGGAAAGTCCTAACTGTGTATCCTCCCTGCCTCTGTTCTCACTTTGACCTCTAGAACGGCTACCTGAATAGTATAGCCTTAAACCAAGGCTCTTATGCACCCCTCTTCCCCCAAACAACCAAAAGGTGAAGTGAGGGGGCATCTGGGCCTTACAGCCATACCAGGAGCCTCCAGGGACTGACAGCAGGAGTGGGGCTCTTTAGGGCCTCCACTGTTCTAGGGAGGCGGTTTCTCCTAGAACATAAATAGGGGTGTTCGTCAACTCCTGGCAGAGCCTCCTTCCTCTGATAGCCGGAAGCAGACACCCGAGTCAAATATCCTCACCGGGGTCTCCCATGGCTGGCGGAAGGGGCCCGGCTCTGTGGGGATGCCTCTGTGATGGGGGAGGGGCAGTTCCACTGAATTCACACAAGGTCCTTCATTGACTCCTCCGATACCAACACCCTGGGCCCAATGTTATTTCTCCGAGTTCTCAGAATGAGAATTCAGAGAGCACTGCATCGGGTGATCCCTGCCTGGAACCTTCTAGGGCGGACAGCAAGGGCAGGACCGTGGGGTCTTAGGTCTTTCGAGATAGGGGGATTCCCTCATGGTCTTAGGTCTTTCTAGATAGGGGGATTCCCTCAAACCTTACTCAATATCCTTATCTCACCTGGGGCAGAGCTTGGATTCCTCCCTCGGCTGCGCCGCCGTCCTTCTCGGGGCAAGAGCTCACCTCCCACGGAGCAGAAACGGAAGTCAGTGTGCATACATCCGGCTACTCCTGGGGGCCCCCGCGAGGTGGGGCGATAAGGGGCGTGACTCTGTGGTGCCCCCTCTGTTATAGTGTGAATAGTACCAAAGGTATTTTCGCGAAGTAGGTCCTCATTTTGGCTCCCGGTTCGTTGATTAAAGGCTCCTTGGGAAATATCACTTCCTCTTCCTAAACTCTGGACAGTTTGTCAGCTTAAACCCTTGCAGACGGTGGGTCCGCATTCCAACCAAGATGTGAGATCGAGAAGCTGCCACACAAGGTAGGGGGGGCTAGGACAGGTTCTGAGATGTCAGAGAAAATGCATAGTGATGATAGGATCTCTTGGGAACTTTCTGTTCGAAAAGATCTACTTGCTACAGGAAAGAGGCAGATCTGCATAACTTTGTGAGACCCAGGTGTTTCGATCTTATCTAACATTGAACAGTGTAGTGAAATTCATTTTAATTTTGATTCTCATTTATAATACATATATACATGTTCTAATAATTACTGCTTTGTACAACAAGGCTCTTGATATTACTATAGTTATCTATACACCACTTTTCTGAAGTCATTTACTTAAATAGTCCGTAGCCTTTTCCTTGGGATTTTCCAAATGATCATATTTGCAACCAATAATTTCTATTTCTTTTTACTATTCCTAACTTTTATTTATTTTTGTATTCTTATCCTCTGGCTATGCATTCTGATCCAGTTTTGAACAGTTAGAGTTGGTAACATACTGCTGTGTCTTGCTCCTTACATTAATGGGAATGCTACTAACATTTCACATTTAAGTTTGTTTGCTATAGAATTTAGGAAGTGGAAGTTCCCTTCTAATGTTGGTTAGCTAAATGATATTATCCTGCATTCACGTTGACTTTTTTTTTTTTTCAAAAGTTTTTTCTTGGGGCGCCTGAGTGGCCCAGTCGTTAAGCGTCTGCCTTCGGCTCAGGTCATGATACCAGGGTCCTGGGATCGAGCCCCGTATGGGGCTCCCTGCTGGGGGGCGGGGGCTGCCTCTCCCTCTCCCACTCCCCCTGCTTGTGTTCCCTTTCTCGCTGTCTCTCTCTGTCAAATAAATAAATAAAATCTTTGGGAAAAAAAGTTTTTTCTTCAGTACATGATCAAATGTCTTTTAAATCTTATCTGTTAATGTAGTATTTTGGGCAGTTTTTTCTAATGTTATATTGTTATATTTCTTGGATTCAGCATCTTTTTTCCATTTAATTCACTGCTATGACTTTATTTAGGATCTTTGCCTGTAAGTGGGTGAGCTTGGCTTGAGTATTCTGTTTTCAAAGTGTCCTCAGCTGGTTTTCTTATCAAGGAGAGCTAGACCGGGAAAATAAGCTGAAAAATTGCCCATCTTTTTGTATGCTTTGGATGTGTTTACATGAGATGGTGGTTAACTTTTTGCTTGTTATTTGGTAGAACTGTCCCTGACTGCCTTGTCCTGAAACTTAAAGGTGACTGAAACCTTGAGGATAGTTTTGTATTTCTCAGTAACAGTTTTCTATTTCTGCTTGAACCTATTGAGTAATTAATATTTTTTCTAAATAATGGTCTGTTATCACTTAGGGTTTTATTTTAATGGCTACATATGTATTATATTTATTGTAGAAAATTTCAAACATATACAACAGTAGAGAGAATAGTATAATAAAACCAATATACTTCACATCAGCATCAACAGTCTTCAACACATGGCCTACCTGGTTACATTTCTACCCATATCTACCCCATCTCTGCCACTGAAATAATGAGAAATAAATCCTAGATATCATGCCATTTCATCTTTAAATACTTAAGTATCTATTTCTAAAAGATAGGTATCCTTTATGAAACATAAATATTCAATTACACATATCCTACCTTAAAAAATTAATATCAACAAGTGTCCAGTTATTTTTCACATTTGCCTGACTTTTTAAAAATGTTTTTTCTTGAATCAGGGTCAAATAAAGTCTATTCATGTCATTGCTCTTTATGCCCATTAATTTATAGATCCTACACCCCCCCACATACATATATTACTTATTTTCCTTGTTAGTTTCTTGTTGAAAAAAACCTCGTGTTTTGTCCAGTTTCATATGGCATGGGTTTTGCTGATTGCAACACTGGTGTCCTTCTCCCTCTGTATTTCTTTAAATCAGCAGAAGTTTCATCAGATTAAGGTGTAATTTTTTACTCTTTCTTTTTTTGTTTGGAAAGACTTCCCATAGGTGATATTGTGACTTTTTATCACAAGGAACCTAATGTCTGACTTCCTTTGTGTTCATGTTTGCAATCTTTAAAGATTGGCGTATTTATCCATTAATTAAGGGTTACACAATGTTAATTTTGTATTTCTATTATTTTTTCTGAGTTTATTAGATGAAATATATTTTTATGCAAAATCATACCTTGTTCACCATTTGGTAATGATATTTATAGTGCTCTCTTATAATTTTTAAATTCCTTCTGCACCTATATTTTGTACAATATTGTTTAACTAATATCACTTACTTCTGTTTCTTTTGTTAATTGATGATACTTATAAAACTGTCAGTTATATCAGTCTTTTCAAAGTACAGGCTTTTGTTAGTTGGCTCCATTGTCTTCTAACTCATCATTTATGCACTTCATTATTTTCTACATTCTATTTCTTTGGGTTCAATATGGTATTCTTCCTCTAGTTTCTTGAAATTTTTGCATGTTATAAATATTTCCATTTTTTGTCCACGGGATTTTAATTTCAATAACTATATTTTTATTTCTAGTTATTGTTTCAGTTCTTTTTCAAATTAGCCTATCTTTTTTTCTTCTAATTTCTTGTTCTTATGGTCTCCATGCTTTCTTTTCTCATTAATGGACTTTATTTTTTTATTGAGATATAATTGACATATAACATAATATTAGTTTCAGGTGTACAACATAATGATTCGATAGTGTATATATTGTGAAATGATCACCACAGTAAGTCTAGTTAACATCCATCACTACACATAGTTACAATTTTTTTTCTTTTTTTTTTTTTTAAAGATTTTATTTATTTATTTGACAGAGACAGAGACAGCGAGAGCAGGAACACAAGCAGGGGGAGAGGGAGAGGGAGAAGCAGGCTTCCCGCGGAGCCAGGAGCCCGATGTGGGGCTCGATCCCAGGACCCTGGGATCATGACCTGAGCTGAAGGCAGTC